TTGTAAACGAGTATTGACGGTTGCTCATATGGATGCCGGCCCATGATGAGTCCAACTGCAGAGAGCCGATACTACGCCCGTGAACCCGCACCTGGCACCCCAAAGTCAGATCCCCTACTTGACATCCAAATCCTGAATCACAGGCACACAGCTTGCGAAAATCCCAAATGCAGAAGGCCTTGGCCCTTGAAGCCCTTAACCTTTCGGATAGAAAGCCTTTGCGGATCGTTGCAAAAGTGCATGGGCAGCTGGTTCTAGCTGTGCAGGGGCACACTCCTGAATAGATGGGCTATGTGGGGGTGTCATCATACACCGGTTGTAGAAGGCTTCACCAGGATGGTTCGGGAATATTGTTCTGATGATAATGGAAGTGCTATCCTCAGAAGGCGGGCGGGGAAAATTGCAGCCCCAATTCAGGGACTTCTGATGTAGGACAATCTCCACACAGCGCTGTGGGGTTTTTAATACGGAAGCTTCTGCAACTCCAGAAGGATTACCATCAGCAACTCAGAACTGGAACCAGTTTGGTGTCTGAAAAGCAAGGACCTTTCTTTTGGCTTCGGATCGGAGAACATACCAAGCCAATCCTGATATAATCTTGATAGCAAGAAACTCGGGACTCCCCTTGTAGTCCATGAGCCTTTACACATTGCTAGGCTGCCGACATCTTTCCCTCGTTTGAGAAGCGGAAAATCCGATCAGAGAAAAACACCAATCAGTGTCTGTTGGGCTGCCATGAACTTGAGATGGATTTGATCCCAAACCCAGCAATGCAAGAAAGCAACAATGCAACTCAATTCATGAAGCCAACATGGAAGTTTGGTTTTGGGCACGGCCAAGAACCATAGTTATCGTCACCATGTTCATCCATTCTTTCTGCAAACGGATTCAGCCGGTACATGTATTTCAGAAGGAGTAACCTGCTGTTCTGTACTTGCACAAGCTACGATCACCATTGTGGGGACCACCCAAAATCGCGGGGTCCCATCGTGTTGAAAGAAGTCCCGTTTCCAAACCCTTACCATGAACCTTGAAAGCTTCTTGGCTGGGTCCTTGAAGAAATGGCTCGCACCCTGCAGCAGCGAACGGAGCCCGGCCAAGGCAGCCAAGCCTGGTAAGGGGTCCCATGGTTCACGCCTGAAATGAGGGCTCTGTTCACAACCGGTTTAGGTCAAAGAAGGGTTCAAACGAATTAATAGGTGCGCGCGTTGTGCAGGATGCCCAGGAAGGGGCCCACAGTTGCGCGAAAAACCCTCATGTAAGTCTTCAGCCATCAGAAAACGCTAAATCACTTCCTATCGGGTTGACAACCCTTTTCAGTGGTTCCTGTGCTGATGAGCATAGTGGATGATAGAGGCCTATAGTCTATAGTCATGTGATCGGAACAGGGACTAATCGAGCCTGTTGGGGATTGTGCAGGGAGTGCAGGGGAACTGAGAAAAAGCAACCAGGTGATGGTTCGTGAATTTGAAGCACAGGCCAACGTGAGGATTAAGTGCGCTTTCTGGCTGTAGTAAAGCTGCAGTATCAGCTCGGCTCCGTTTAGCAGTTCATGGGGCTTCCATAAGGTCTCACAAGGAACGCGGCTGCTAAAGTGACACTGCAAACGTTCTGCGAACGCTTGCGATGTTTCGTGTCAAGCAAAACGAAAGCTCTCCCCTACCCATTTGGAACATCTCGTAGGGGAGCAGTGCTCAGGGTTTGAGCTTAGTGAGAAGCGTTTCTGGGGATTGACCTCTGAGGGGTCCAGTCTGCAAGCTTGCAAGGTCCATAGACTTCAAGGTAGCACGGTTTAGGGCTTGAGATTCGGCTTGAGATGATACATAGATCAAGGTCTAGGACGACATCAGCAACTCCAAATCTTGAAGCTTACCTTAATCAACACACTACTTCACTTTTATCCCCACCAAGCAGGGTGCTGCCCTGGCCCCAAACCCTGCCCACTGAGAATGTAAGCCTAGATTGGCCCCTAAAACCCATTGAAAAATATTAGTATATAGGGTCCCCTATTAAAGCCATTTGGGAAAATACTAAATATCCCAGGGGCCTACCCAGAAGCCCATTTTTGAGCCCAGCATCTTCGGACTCTGACCACCAGGAGAACCACCGTGCCAGGCACTGTGACGGCCTTCAATGCAGCCAGAAGCGCTGAGGTGTCCTCGCCTCACTTTCTGCAGGACTGAGGGTGTCTGCCAATATGAAGCCAGCAAGTTGATAACGAGGATCTGCGATGGGCCATCTGTAAAGAAAAATGATCAGGGTTGATAAGCGAGGCTTTTGCAAGGGTGATGTTGCCCCCCGAAAAATCATCCATAAATATTTGCATATATTTGCCTTTTCGTTTGGGTGGTGTGAACCATAGCAAGGAATGAAGATCCATGTTCCTAAGCGAGCTGGAGACAGCTACATTATCAAGCCTGCAATTGCATGAACAACTAGGACAGACAGGCCAGCTGGGCCATTCGGATGCATCATGAGAATCAGCTGGCCAGCTCTCCGGACAGAAAAGGCAGCTGGGCCAGCATCACGAGCATCAGCTGGACAGCTCTTCGCATACAAAAGCCAGCATCATGAGCATCAGCTGGCCAGCTCTCCGGACGGAAAACGCAGCTGGGCCAGAAACACGAGCATCAGCTGGACAGCTCTTCGGATACAAAGGGCAGCTGGGCCAGCATCATGAGCATCAGCTGGCCAGCTCTCCGGATAGAAAGGGCAGCTGGGCCAGCATCATGAGCATCAGCTGGCTAGCTCTTCGGATACAAATGCCAGCATCATGAGCATCAGCTGGCCAGCTCTTCAGATACAAAGGGCAGCTGGGCCAAAATCATGAGCATCAGCTGGCCAGCTCTCCGGATACAAAGGGCAGTCTGGCCCGCATTGAGCATCAGCTGGCCAGCTCTTCGGATCAAAGGGCAGCCGGGCAAGCATCATGAGCATCAGCTGGCCAGCTCTCCGGATAGAAAGGGCAGCTGGGCCAGCATCATGAGCATCAGCTGGCCAGCTTTTCAGATACAAAGGGCAGCTGGGCCAGCATCATGAGCATCAGCTGGCCAGTGCTCCGAATAGAAAGGGCAGCTGGGCCAGCATCATGCGCATCAGCTGGCCAGCTCTTCGGATACAAAGGGCAGCCGGGCCAGCATCATGAGCATCAGCTGGCCAGCTCTTCGGATGGCAAAGGGCAGCTGGGCAAGCATCATGAGCATCGGCTGGCCAGCTCTCCGGATACAAAGGGCAGCTGGGCCAGCACCATGAGCATCAGCTGGCCAGCTCTTTGGATACAAAGGCAAGCATCATGAGCATCAGCTGGCCAGCTCTTCGGATACAAAGGGCAGCTGGGCCAGCATCATGAGCGTCAGCTGGCCAGCTCTCCGGATACAAGGGGCAGCTGGGCCAGCATCATGAGCATCAGCTGGCCAGCTCGTCGGATACAAAGGGCAGCTGGGCCAACATCATGAGCATCAGCTGGCCAGCTCTCTGGATACAAAGGCCGGGCCAGCGTCATGAGAATCATCTGGCCAGCTCTTCGGATACAAAAGGCAGCTCTTCGGATAGAAAGGGCAGCCGGGCCAGCATCATGAGCATCAGCTGGCCAGCTTTTTGGATAGAAACGGCAGCCGGGCCAGCATCATGAGTATCAGCTGGCCAACTTTTTCGAATACAAAGGGCAGGCGGGCCAGCATCATGAGTATCAGCTGGCCAGCTCTTCGGATACAAAGGGCAGCTGGGCCAGCATCATGAGCATCAGCTGGCCAGCTCTCCGGATACAACGGACAGCTGGGCCAGCATCATGAGCATCAGCTGGCCAGCTCTTTGGACACAAAGGGCAGTCTGGCCCGCATTGAGCATCAGCTGGCCAGCTCTTCGGATCAAAGGGCAGCCGGGCCAGCATCATGAGCATCAGCTGGCCAGCTCTCCGGATACAAAGGGCAGCTGGGCCAGCATCATGAGCATCAGCTGGCCAGCTCTTCGGATACAAAGGGCAGCTGGGCCAGCATCATGAGCATCAGCTTGCCAGCTCTTAGGATAAAAAGGGCGGCCGGGCCAGCATCATGAGCATCAGCTGGCAAACTCTTTGGGATCTCATATACTGAATAGTTCATCTTGCAGCAGGTTGTCTGTACACCACATCGGTTGCCAGCACGGTGGAAGCTTCGCGACACTCTGCTGGCGGTGGCTCATGCCACTCCCAACGTCGCGTAACAACGTCCAGACCGCTCTCCTTGCTTCCCAACCAGGCTCTGCTTACTGGTACTTAACGAGAAGCGGGCGAGGGATAGGTTTTTAGTATTTCAAACAGATTTTATCACAGGACCATTATGGGGATCCAATCCTCGCTTCCCCTTAGCGCTGTAAATTCGGTTTTCAGACCCTGCTGAATTTCAGTCCCTAGCGGCCACTTCCAAACATGTGCCAGGATTATTGTGAAGGCTGTGAAGCATCATGGCGATGCAACCCCTGATCCCTGCAGTTGTCACTGCGGAACTCCCTTCACAAGCAATCCGAAGCCAGCATATTTACAGCGGAAGATTTATGGTCAAGGAACAGGGGAGATTGGCACTTACAAGCTGCATGGTAGCTACAACTCTCGACCAAGCTTGGGGGCCTTGCAAATCTCCAAAGTTCTGAATGAGATTTCCAAGTGTGGCGTTACCAGGTGGGTACCCTGTACCCAAGGATTTCATAAGGCGTGGAGACTGAAGATAAACAGCAGCTAAGTAACTAAGGCAATTTACAAGGATTGAGATTGTCCACTTGAAGATTCCTTACAAACTCTGGTTTGCAGAGTTGAGAGCTTGGGACAACACGTTGGCATGTCCCATTGTCACATCCAAATGCCGAGCCCCCTTGTCCGTATCCTCGGCAAAACTGAAATACTGAAACATGGGTGGTTATTCCAAAGAAAAGGTGTGGCGTTACGTTTAGTTACATGAGCTATAGTCTAAACTCCCAGTATCCCCCTTAATAAACCCCTATCATACTCCCCTATATAATCCCTTACATAACCCCCCTTTGAGGAGTCTAGATTGTAGCTCATATACATACACACACACCCTCTGAGACTTCTAAGCAAGCAACCTACCCCTTTGATCGGCTCCTTTGCAGACCGCTGCACAACCTGTAAGGCTCGCTCGCTCCGGTCTGTCAGGACTACCTGCAACAGACTGCTGCCCCAAATGGGGTTTCCACAAATTCGGGGTCCTGTTCTGGGGGTCCCTATGATGAGGATTTTTAACTTTAGTATTTTGGGGCCCCCCATTTTTTTGGAAATATACAAATGGGATCCTGACTGCATTGCTGCTTTCAAAAAATAATCACGGGGAAAGTTTACGGTGGGGACCTTTGTTGTGCTATGAGCAGGCCATTGAGGACAATCTCCAGCCTGGAGCTAGGGAGGTAAGCTTTGGCAACTCCGCAGGAAGGTGAGGTGGTGCTCCTGTGAAAGGGGGTGACTGCAGCTTCAAGAAAACGGCCTCTCTGAATTGCTTTTGAGTGCTACTAGAATCTTACTTGAATTTCGATACCGTGCTCTAAATGCTCTAATCCCTCAAGCCCAACTCCCCTGCCATTGTCCAGCATGCCGAAACTCTCCCAGCCCGATCCCGCCCTCACCCGAGGGCCAATCGGGTAGCCTCCAAGAAGCCAAGGGTTCCAAAAAGGCACGCCATCCGGCGGATCTGAGGGGATTTGAAGCCCTCAACTGCTAGCAGCCCCGCTACAGCACACAAACACGTACACTTGCAATGCCAATGCAGCTCCTAAACCCTGAGCCCTAAACTTATACCCCAAATCAAATTACCCTCCAGCCCTCAACCCTGAATACTATTGTAGTGTCGATATTATTTCTCCTTTTTCTTTGCTGTTCGATTCTCCATTTTTTAGGCCTCATATCCCTATAATGTCGCAATATATCTAGACCCTAAACCCTAATGTAGCCCCTCGTATCCTTATAATGCCCTCTTGTCCATATGGGTTATTCTCAAAATAATGGGCCGTTTTTGGTTATAGATTACATAACAACACCTAATATTCAGGGGTACCAAAATGGGACCCCAATTTTGGTACCCCTTAACCCAAAACCGTAAAACCCTAAACCCTCCCATATAATCCCCAGATGTAATCCCCCTATGAATAGGGGTTTCTTCAGGCCTTAGCTCCCAGGGCTGCCGCAGCTAATCCTGCGCAACCTGTGCCACATCCCAGCTCCACGACCTTTCAACTTACTCCGTTTAGGAATTAGGGTGTAGGGTGTAGGATTTAAGGTTTGGGGTGTAGAATTTAGGGTTCAGGGTGTAGGATGCAGGGTTAGGGTGTACAATTTAGGCATGCGGATTCCGAACTGTCCCCAATGTTTGCACATGTGAGACAGCCCGCCATCTGTGGGCGTGCATTAAGAAATGGAAAGAAATCACTCGATGTCGGATTACTCGTCAAACCTCTGAAGAACTTCGCGTAGGAAAGTAGTTGTCCCTTGTTTGATCGCCCTGAGTTCATGGAAAGTTGCTTGCAACAAGGCTCGTTTTTGTAAAAGGTCGACTGGGTGGTACAATGACAACCAGCAAGCCCACTGCGCAAACGCACCTTTTCACTC